CAATAGGGATTCATCCAGCAAAAGCCAGCATACAAAACAAAGCCAATTTGGAATTATGGTGGAATTCATGGAATCGCATCCAAGTTTGGCCAAAGGCTACATAAAGTGCGCTGATGCTAAGCAAACTTCCAAGAATTTGTGGGGACGGCTGACGGAAGAGTTAAATGGAGATGGACCACCTACGCGGGATGCATCTTCATGGAAAAAGGTAATTTGAGTGTAAGCCAAATAATATTAACTCTTAAAGCTGCAACACGAGCCGCGCGTCGTATGACCTATCAAAGTACCGTTTTCAAGGTATAACGGTTATGATAAATAGCCGTATGCTAATGAACCGCTCAATGAAGTACAGTTTTAATAAAGCAAAGAAATTAAATTTTAGCAAATGTTACATTTGAAATATATTAAAAAACAACAAAAAATATAAATGCATTTAATTTATGTAATGAAAAATAGTATTTTTTAAACACACGACGGCACTATGAATGGAATTTCGTTTATTATTAACTATTATTATTGTTTTTTATTTACATATTTAAGGTTTGGGCGGATTACAAGAGCCACCTCAAAGCCAAAGTGCGCAAAAATAAGTTGCACATGTCCGGAACTGGTGGTGGCCCTGCAAAAACTAGTTCCCTTAATTCGGTGGAGTTAAGGGCAATGGAGTTGTTGCAAATAAATGAAGCAGTAGATGGAATAGCCGGTTCTCAAAAATTCGGTGCAGGAAGAAGTGAAGCCACAAACAGCATCGAATGTGAGACTGCTCCAACCACTCCGAATTATGCAACTGATTTGCAGGATCGTGCAGAACTGCCACCTTCTACTCCTCCTTCCTATTCCCAGGTGTCACCCAATTGCAGTACGGTGCGGTCCCGAACTCAAAGCAAAAGCAATCTTTTGAAGATGCAAGTGTATGGGCAAAAAAAATTCCACAAAGATTGTACTCGCATTTTAAAAGACGTCAATTACAATTTAAAATCAATAGCAAAAACAAATAAGAAATCTGTGGAACAAATGGAAGAGAGAATAGAAATAGAGAGACAAAAACTTAAATTCGCAAAATTAAAACATGAATACAAAGTAAAAAGCGACATGGAGAGAAACAAAATTAGAATTTCAAAACTTAGATTGAAGCAACAGCTGCTAGATGTTAATACACGTAGAGATTAATATACATACATATCAAATATTTGCCTTATAAGTACATATGTACACTTGAAGAAAATTTTTATGTTTATTTTTATATATAAATACATATGTATGTATGTAATAGAACCACAAACATAATATTATTCTCAAATAAATAAATAAAGAAAATGTACTTGTTGTGAAAAGTTCTTTAATTGCATTGATTTACTACACATATTTACGAAATTTAAATTAGGAAACCAAGCTATTTTTAATTCGGTCTCGTACTGTTTGTGCCATACGTAAAAATTCGTTCTCTTCTATATCGGAGTTGGTCGATAAAGCTAAATTTGAGCCTTCTTCATCGCTCTCAATAACAGTTGGTGGTTCAATATTATATGTAAGGCAAATGTTATGCAGTGCACAACAAGGATTTAAAATTTTTACTACTTTTTCGGGTGTATAATGAAGCTCTCTTCCAGCAAGTAGGCAACGAAAGCGACCTTTTAAATTCCAAACACTCGTTCTATTATCGATCGCGCTTTGGTAAACCTTTCATTATATAACATTTCTGCAGAATTTTCTTCTGCGTTACGGTAAGGTGTGAGGAGCCATGGCTCTAATGGATATCCAGAATCACCTTGAAAATAGAAGATAATGCATGC